TTCAAAAATTCATATGGAAACACCAAAGACCCCGAATAGCCAAAGCAATCCTGAGAAGGAAGAATAAAGTGGGGGGGGGGATCTCACTCCCCAACTTCAAGCTCTACTACAAAGCCATAGTAATCAAGACAATTTGGTACTGGCACAAGAACAGAGCCACAGACCAGTGGAACAGAGTAGAGACTCCAGACATTAACCCAAACATATATGGCCAATTAATATATAATAAAGGAGCCACAGACATACAATGGGGAAAGACAGTCTCTTCAACAGATGGACTGGCAAAACTGGACAGCTACATGTAAGAGAATGAAACTGGATCACTGTCTAACCCCATACACAAAAGTAAATTCGAAATGGATCAAAGACCTGAATGTAAGCCATGAAACCATAAAACTCTTAGAAAAAAACATAGGCAAAAATCTCATGGACATAAACATGAGTGACTTCTTCATGAACATATCTCCGCGGGCAAGGGAAACAAAGGCAAAAATGAGTAAGTGGGACTATATCAAGCTGAAAAGCTTCTGTACAGCAAAGGACACCATCAATAGAACAAAAAGGTATCCTACAGTATGAGAGAGCATATTGATAAATGACAGATCCAATAAAGGATTGACATCCAAAATATATAAAGAGCTCACACACCTCAACAAACAAAAAGCTAATAATCCAATTAAAAAATGGGCAAAGGACCTGAATAGACAGTTCTCCAAAGAAGAAATTCAGATGGCCAACAGGCATATGAAAAGATGCTCCACAGCACTAATCATCAGAGAAATGCAAATTAAAACCACAATGAGACATCACCTCACACCAGTAAGGATCGCCATCATTGAAAAGACAAAGAACAACAAATGTTGGCGAGGTTGTGGAGAAAGGGGAACCCTCCTACACTGCTGGTGGGAATGTAAATTAGTTCAACCATTGTGGAAAGCAGTATGGAGGTTCCTCAGAATGCTCAAAATAGAAATACCATTTGACCCAGGAATTCCACTTCTAGGAATTTACCTTAAGAATGCAGCACTCCAGTTTGAAAGAGACATATGCAGCCCTATGTTTATCGCTGCACTATTTACAATAGCCAAGATATGGAAGCAACGTAAATGTCCATCAGTAGATGAATGGACAAAGAAGATGTGGTACATATACACAATGGAATATTACTCAGCCATAAGAAAAAAACAGATCCTACCATTTGCAACAACATGGATGGAGCTAGAGTGTATTATGCTCAGTGAAATAAGCCGGGTGGAGAAAGACAAGTACGAAATGATTTCACTCATATGTGGAGTATAAGAACAAAGAAAAACTGAAGGAACAAAACAGCAGCAGAATCACAGAACCCAAGAATGGACTAACAGTTACCAAAGGGAAAGGGACTGGGGACGATGGGTGGGAAGGCAGGGTTAAGGGCAGGGAAAAAGAAAGAGGGCATTACTATTAGCATGTATAGTGCATGGGGGGCACGGGAAGGGCTGTGCAACACAGGGAAGACAAGTAGTGATTTTACAGCATCTTACTATGCAGATGGACAGTGACTGTGAAGGGGTATTTGGGGGGACTTGGTGAAGGGGGAAGCCTAGTACACATAATGTTCTTCATGTAATTGTAGATTAACAGTACCAAAATAAAAAATAATAATAATAATAAAATAAATTGCATTTGTCCTCAAATGACTATCTACCTAACAGCGAGATGAGAGTGAACTTAGCAAGTTGCCTAAGGCATATAAAGTGGAAGAGATAGGCACTTCTTATAAAGAACTAAACTAGCTCCAGCCTGGATGTCAGGGAAGTCCCCTCAAAAGCAGTTACCTGGCCTGCCAGCATTGATGAGGGGCGTTCCAGGAAGCTCATTCTGCAGACAGTCTTAGTATGAAAATGTGAGCCATTAGGGATGCATTTTCAAACAGCACTTGCTCTTTCAGTTCTAACGGATTTTCACTCAGCTTGTTATAAATAATGGAAAAGCTCAACGTTTAAATGGAAGAAATACAGTAATTCCTTGGTTAGTTGAAAACACTAGAGGTACAGATATCTAAAGTTATTTTTGTGATGGTTACATTATAAGGAGGGACTAAAAGTTAATGAGCTAATTCTTTAATATTCCAGATCTTATGGAGGGCAACAGGCACGGCTTGTTTTAGAATAAACCACCACACGAGGGCATGCTTTGCCATTCCACCAGCCTCCTACAAGTAGTGACCTCACCTCACTCACGTCTCACTTTACAAATGTTGACTGAACTGGACTGCCATCACATAAATTTTTGGAATTGAGTTCAAGGGTTACATTTTACTCTTATAAATAAATATCCTCATGATGTAAATACCTGCCCTTTGAAAAAGGTAATGGTTCCACTACTTCCAGAAAAGTGTTTAAAAAACAATCGCCAGTGCTGGCAATGGTGTGGTGAAAGGGTCAGCTTCTTATATTCCTGCCGGAAACATTATTTATACAACCTTTCTGTTGAGCATTTAATTTGCATAAAAAATCTGTAAAATATGCATAATCTTTGATCTGTTAAATCCATTTCTAGGAATATATCCTAGAGAAATAAGCATGCACAGATTCCCCTTTACAGGAAAATTATTCTTGGTGTTATATAAACAAGCAAAAATTATAAACTACCCATGCTTGCAACAATAGGGGATAAGTTAGACCAACTATAGCAAGGTTGCTCAGTGGAACACCAAACAGACATCCCACATAATATGGAGAAACAAAGCATTTTCAAGAGCAAGTTTGACAAGGTTATATGAAAGTATGTATAGTAATTTATTTGTTATAACACACACACGGAATTGCCTGGAGGCACAAAAAATGTCCAGCATGATTATTTCCGGGTTGTGTGAAGGAAAGTCTCACTGTGTAAAAATGTGTTAAGAGTATGTTCAGGACAGGGCTCCCTGTATGCTACCATGGATGAACATAAGTACCCCAACAAACACATCTGTGCCCCTCTGCCTGTATGTGTATGAAACATCCTCAGAAGCCAGGTGGCCAGCTGCTAGAAGAGGACTTTTCACTGTATATTTATACTCTTCGAAGTTTGAACCTTCTGAACTTATTACTACTCCAAAAAAAAAAAAAACTGGAAAAAAAATTTGTGAATAACAGTGGCATCATTTAAATGACTGTGTGGCCAGCCTCTCAAGGAACAACAACTCTGAATAAAACCCAGCTAATTTAGGAGAATGTTAATTTTTAAATTATGCATTTCAGTGAAGATGAACTTTTATATATATCATGAACAACTTGTTATTTTTATAATCAGAAAAAAGTGACAGGATATAATTTTTAAAAACTTAATTCTGTCCCTTAATTTTTTTATTAGAAAATCTTTTCTTGTAACTTCCTTGATTCACGTTTTGACCCACTTTCTAATGCTTTTAAAACAAAATTTAATTTCAGGTGCAGTAAAAATTGTCAATAGTACATTTTCATGTAAATATTCCTAATCTGTCCTGTGTCCATATCCTTTGTTTACTAGTACACAGCATCTTCTGTGTCGTGCACAATTTATGTAACAGCACAGACATGCACTGAACATGGGCAAGTGTCATTTTTATGTTATTATATTTAACGATGTGACTATTTCACAACTGCTCTGCTTTTCTAGGTTTTGGAGCTCCACCTGCCCAGCTAGCAGGGAGACAGATCACAGATGTTTCAGGCCTGGCTTGGGACCACCCAGTGACACGGGACAGGATGAAGTGTCGTGACAAAGGCAGGGACTCACGCCTTCCTTCAGGAGGCCAACCCGGCTTGGGCCCGTCCCCACTCACCACTGCACCGGCTGCCAGTTGGGGAGGAAAGGCCGGAAGCCTGTGATGCACTCGAAGGCCAGGGTGCCAAAGCTCCAGTAGTCCACGGTTACTGTGTACTTCTGCTGCTCCAGCAGCTCCGGGGCCTGCAAGGACACGTGTCTGGGACATGCCCGAGCTGCCCCCTCTTCTGAGGACCCACCACAGGTAGGGCAAATGGCCCCCCAATCCCACCTTGCACCCTCCCAGCTCCATCTGGGAGGCCATGGCATGTCCGCCCGAGGGTGAGGATGTGACCAGATGTTCAGCTGTTGGTATCTAGGATTTTCCTACACCTCCCTCACTCCCAATGTAGATACAAGGGCCCCTAGGGGTACTTTTAGGTAGCCCAGAGCACACTGCATACCCTTCTCATGCACGCTGTGTAGAGATGGGGAGACAGGCCACGTACAACAAAGGAAAATGACATCGGGCTGTACACACCAAAATGTGAAATGCTGCCCAGGTCTCTGAAACCAGTGTGGTTAATGACATGTGGCTGTGCAACATGTGTGCTGCCCACGCAGAGAGCTGGGGGGACCAAAGAGAGCCCTGAGGCACAGGTGGGACTAGAATGGGGAGCAGACACTCCAGAAAGAACTGTCACAAGCAAAGGCATGGGGACGGGACTATGCAGGGTCTGGAGTGTGACTCTAATGGAAGTGCCAAGGAATCCAAACCTAGAGGGAAATTGGGTCAGATCATCCCTGTGTCTGGGGGACAGAAGTTTTAGCCCCTGCAAGTGAAGGATTTGACTGATCATCCTGGTCGGAGCATGGGGTGCCCCCACTTCACTGCTGCTGAGCTGGTGAGTATTCCAGAGAGGACTTAGCAGGACCTGCAATACATTTTACGGACGCAGGTGTCTGCGCACAGCTCCCGGGTCACCACTCCGAAGCCTCTATTCCATAGAGCAGATGATCAAGCCATGTAACAGAGTGCCTCAGTTGGTGGTATAAGTACGAAGTATCAATGTACTCAAAAGACTTCAAAAGAATTTCCTTTTCTTTTTTATTTAAGGATGAGAGAGAGTATTTAAGCTCCTCCAGCCCAGTGACTTTCAACCTTTTTTGGTTTTGTTTATTGAACTGAAGACCCCCTTCATCAATCACAATTTTAGTGGTCGTTATGATTTGTGAGCAATCTATTTCCAAGTCCCACCGACTCTCTTCTGGGTACTTCTTGAGTCACCTTCTACACCCCACTGCTGCCATCAGTGCTGACCTCCTCTGGCGACAGCCTCCTTATGACCTGCCCACCCTTTACTCTTGTTCAATACAATTCATTTTCCACGCTGTGTCAAGAGTGGCCTATTCAAAAGGTAAACCTGACCCCTCTCCAACTTAAAGCCCTTCAGGGCCTCTCCAGAGGTTTTAGAACAAAGTCTAAACTCTTTCACCCAGCCCATAAGGCCCTGAGTAACCTCTCCCCTACCTCTCTCTCCAGCTTGGACTCGACATACTCTCTGGGTTCCAGCCATGCTTTCTGGTCTCCCAGTGTACTGTCCCTTTGCCCCAGTTTCCTCTTCCTCCTGCTCCCCCAGCCCCTTTTCACCTACTCATCCCTCAGGTCTCAGACTAGGCTTGGTCCTCCTAACGGACGTTCTTACACCACCCGCACAGCACTTACCCAGCGGCAGTTTCTGAGTTAACTGTGTACACAGCAGGCAGTGCCTGCTCTCTTGCTAAACCCTACACTCTGAAAGGCCAGGGAAGACCTTTCATCTCTCCCAATGTGCTGCCGGCTGCTAGCACAGTTCCTGGCACGTAGATTACACTGGAGCACTACTTCTTGCGGGAATGAGTGACTCATAGAATCTTAACATTCAGGCCAAATAATTTAAGGAAAGGGGGTGCTCAGAGCTTAGCTCCTCCCCAATGGCCACTGAGATGCTTCATGGAAGCTGTGGCCTCTACAGACCAACAGGAATTTAGCTTACACTCTTTGTTTTCAGATACAAGACCGAGGCACGAGAGGTCATGAGGTCTGTACACACCAGCAGGCCCTCTGACACCAGAGAAGAAGGCAGTGCCTCTCGGGGGCAGTAAGTGCTGACCTGAGTGCGTTACGGCTCTGACCTCATGCAATTCCTATGTATCGAGGAAACATTTAAATGGCTGGCGAGACTTAGATGCTAGTAGGCAAGGACAGAGAAGAGCCATGTACATATGGCCACCACAGAGCAGCTGATATGCATACATGCCGATTCAACTTCTTACCAGGTACTGCAGGGTTCCCACAAAGGAAGTACAAAGGCTGCCCTGGTCCAGTTCTTTGGCATATCCTAGGTCAATAATTTTGTGTATTAACTGAAAAAAAGAAAAAGAGAGCAGGAGAAATCTGAGGGTTACAAGAACACACTGCTCTCCTGTAAGAATTATGACTGCTCGCTGACACGGCAGAGGATATTTCTGAATTCCCGGATGGTATTAGAGCCTAAGTTCCTAGGAAGCAGCAAATGTACAGGAGAACGCCTTCAACAGGGAAAACTCAGGGCGAAAGAAAACGTGCTGTAAAAATGCAGAATCAAGGCCCACATTCTCCCTTGTTCTGGCCAATTACCAGAGGAAGGTCAAAATTAACAGACTACATAGCAGCCAGACCACAGGACAGAAGTTCAAGAATGTTAAACTTGAACTTTGTGACATGAAAGACCAGGGCAGTTCCTTCTCAGAAATACTTTTGATTCTCAAATCTTTGAGCAACCGGAAGAATGAATGTGAACTGCAACAAAGGTGAGAGCTGTGGGTCAGGCCGAGAATGCTGACAGAAGCAGTATCCGAAGATTTAATCGGCCCACGAGTTACTATATTCCACTTGGCTGAATCCTTGCTTATCACACCCAGCTAAACAAACAAGGCCACGGGAGGGCACCGCACCAAGGGCCATGGGGGGTGACCACCACACCTAAGAAGGAGGGTCACAAAGAGCTCTAGGGAAACCACAGGCTGGACCAGGTCCACAGGCTGGTGCCAGCTCCGAACGCCTCTTCTTAGCCCCATCCAGACCAACCTACGGCTGGTTTCTGTCAGCCTTAAAAGCTGAAGATCTCAAACAAATGGGAAAACAAAAACCCTACTTCCAAGAAGGGCTAGTCCCACAGGTTGGAGTGGAGGTGGGGAGATAAACATTATTTTCCTGGGGTATCAGATTCCGGCACCTCAGGCAATTAACAATGTGATCCATTCAAACGTGCTTCCATCTGTAAGCACAAACTTTTTGCTCAGTTTTGTTTCAAATCAAAAAGTATTCCAAGAGAACAAATTCAAGAAAACACAGATATAAATTAACATACAAAGCATGTTCCTGCTCTACAAGAGCAGCTTCCCTGGGGCGGTCACCATGACTTCCCAAGTCCCAGGAGGGCCACTCACTCTTTGCTCTCCTTGCTGAAGGACGATATTTTCTGGCTTTAGGTCCCGATGGATGATTCTGTTTTCATGAAGGTATCTAAGTGCAGAGGCTGAGAGGGTGGGAAGGGGAGTGAATTTTCATTAAGCCTGAAAAATGCTTTTCATTTCAAAGTTACCTATCCAGTGAAAGATGCATATTTGTGGGCCCCTGACACATACTCTGACTTTCAGGGCAGATTCATGGTGGAAGGATGGGGTCTGGGGCAGAAGCTCCTCAGGTGGAGTGAAGGGGACCTGGCTACACAAGCAGAACTTGGACCACAAGAATCTGGCTTTTCATGCAAAAAACTCTTAGCTTTGATCCACGAGGTCACGAACCACAGTCGAGAGCAGTGGGTCTCAAATTGCACTGCCTGGACCAGCAGCATCTATACTTTGAAGAATTGCAAAATTCTCGGGTTCTACCCCAGACCTACTGAATTAGAAACTTTGGGGGTGATCCCACAGTCTGTTTTAACAAGCTCTTCAGGTGATGCTGATGTGGATAAAGTTTGAAAGGGGAACTTCTATGGTGTAGAGGCTCAAAAATCTAAGTCCTACAGGGTAGGAAAGGAAGAAGGGCCCTCTGGTTATGGGAACACTTTGATCATCTCATCTAGAATCAAGGTCAGAGCTAGTTTCAAGGAAGAAGTCGGGAGATGAGAGGAAGAGAGCAGGAAGGCATTCAACACACCTGCCAGGTCAACATGTGCTTTTATTATGTGACTGCTTTTCTGCCAGCTTCTGCAAGGGACATAAAGTAAGGGACGTGATGGCCAACTTTAAAGAGCACAGAATCTAGCAGACAGGAAAAAGCCTGCACAATCCTGGCTGCCAGGTCACTGGATACTCACAACACCTGCTGTGAGGAGGAAATGTGGCGCAGGCCCATGGCGCAGGGCCACAGGGGCCACCTGCTGCTCAGACTCCAGGCAGGGTGGCATTTTTACCCATATGAAAGATTCTATAACTTTAACAGATGTCCCAGCTAATCATACTACAAAAGAAAATAATGGCATAAGCACTGGAGGGAGATCAACTGGGAAGAATTTAGTAAGCTGTGTGGAAATGAAAGAAGTATGTTGAAATCAATAACTTTTCCCTATGACAGCTATATCCAGATGAAATGGAAAAAGAAGAAAAAAAACAGCATTCACCTTAGCAACAAAAACTTGAAATACCACAGGATAAATTTAGCTAAAAAAAAGCAGTGTAAGATGAAGAAAAGTATATGGCATTAAAAAAAAAAGTGATGCAAATAACACTAAAAGATTTTAAAAGTTTATGGCAGAAAATCTTGTTCACAAAGTGAAAAGGCGAAATGGCTGGGGAAAAAATATCTGCAACACATACGCCCAAGTATGTCTGGCAGACAAAAGCTCTTACAAATCAGTAAGAAAGAAACCCAGGGGTTGAAGGGGCCACTTACAAAGAACCTCAACTGGGAACAATTCTGCAGCACATCCCTCAAGCTCACAAGTAGTCCAAAGAGCAAAACAGGCACAATGAAATGCCTTTTTCCACCTTTTCAACTGGCAAGATTTTTAGGTGTGAAATAGGAGGCACTTCCCTACCTTGCTGGGAGGAGTAAAAATTTCTGTGACTTTTTGGGAAAAAAATACTGCACTATCTCTTACATTTTAAAACATATATATTGTTTGACTCATTAGTCCCACCTCTGGTAACCTGGCTTGTAAAATCAAAAGCATCATCATATGCCAATAAGGAAGCTTATTGCCGAGCTTGGAGGGAAATAACTAGGAACAAACTGAAGGTCATCCATCGGGGAATGGCTGGGCAGATTATGGGAGCTCCACACGATAGCAGGCAACTGGTTTACAGTCATTCGGGTTTATTAGATGACAACTCAGACACATTATATGATTCACAGGGATTGCAATGATATACAGTCAAGTTAATGTTATGACCTGGGGTTTTTTTGTTTTTTAAAAATAAAGGAAAAAAGCAAAAGCAATATGACACCAAGAGAGGCTTAATAACAAGTTCTCCCCATGGCCCTCACACACACACACACACACACACACACACTCATGCTGCAGGGTTGAGAATGTGGGCAAAGCGGGGCGGTGGGCAGCCTGGCAGCAACTGCTGTCTGTGCTGCGAGGTGGAAGACAGGCCTCCTGAAGAACAAGCCGTCAAACACGCTGCGCACAGGCTTCATGCTTTTCTGAAAACGTTTGAAAGTCAAACTGAGAGGGCTAAACAAGACTGCCACCTCAGTAGTGGGGCTCCATCTCAGAATATTAAATTATAGTACAAAATTCCTGATTCCATCTGCCTTTTAAACCTAGCCTTCAACCAAACAATGCCAACATTTCATACTTATTATGTTCCTTATTTTTCTTTTCTTTTATAACTGAATATAGTGGACTGGCTTAGGTCCAACGAATGTTCAAATGAAGTAGAAGACTCACTGCTTTCAATGTGAGCCTCAAAAATACCACTCTGCCTGGTTCTCAGCTGCATTAACTTTTAAAGGCCAATGCTTGCTACTGGCATTTTCATTTTGGTTTTACTAATTTTTATTAAAGAAGCAAAGCGAAGTATAATAAGACATTCTACTAATTGCATAAACACAACCTGCACTCAGGGATGGTGCTACTATTGAGTCTGAACTTGTGGATGGCAGGGAGCACAGCTTGCGGTGACTAGAAATGTCCATTAATTGATTCACAAAAGACCCACTTTGGTATATGGCAAGAGCATCAGGGTGCAACATGTAAAAGTGTGCGCTGCTTTGTTCAAAGGCAGAGTATAGGAAGGTTGAAACAATGTATGCTGAACCAGTGCAGACGCCCAGACTGAGACAAGGTCCCCAAGATGGAGGACGTGAACTGGGCGGTGCCGGCAACACGGGGCACAGGTGGGTGGGCTGTCCCAAGAAGCCCCTCATGGAGGGAGGAGCCCTCAGATGGGACCGACAGCGTTACTCTCTGTGCCACACTGATTAAGAGTTGTCACCAGACTTCAATGAGGAGGAATACAAGTTGGTAACTCATATGTGATTACTGTTAACAGCTGTCTGTTTTTACACTTCAGCAATCTACACAAGAAACTTAAATTTTCATTTTGGGGCAGTCATTTATTCTCAAATACTTCAACTCAATAAAGTTTGCGATTAAAGAATCTTACAGGTATTTATATCGTTTCTGGACTGAGTGAAATCAGTTAAAACTCTGGTAGGGAATCCCTCTTTCACCAGGTCCCATTGCTAATCAGTCTTTAAAAAGCTTAGCTCAGTCTGACTGTGCTACATTGTACAAACTAACGCCTGGAGAGCAGCATCATGAAATAAATCAAAACCTTCTCAAGCCAAGAGAACCTATTTGATTTAAATTGGATGGAAAGTGAGAAGTTGAGATAAGAAAAAAATACTTTTGCCTCTGAAAGTTTATAGAAAACCTAAACTCCGAGCCATAGGGATAATACACACGTACAGAACTTGAAAATGACACCACGGAGCCTAAAAGCCTAAAACCTAATTTCCTCCGTTCCAGTTATAGAAAAGAGCTGCAAGAAGCTCCTGCTCCACCCAGTGGCATTTCCTAGGCAGACAGAGGGTCAGGTTAAGGACCTGCCACGGGAAACAAAAGCCTCCTGCTGTTATCCTTGTCAGGAAGGGCATCCAGGTAGTCAGCCCAGCTCCTGAGGTAGACACAAACTCCTCACTGGAAAATGCAACACTCCTGAAGTTCTTATTGATGAATCCCAGGTCACCCCAGGATCCCAGCTGCTCTACCTTTTGTGAGATTACAAACCAGCAATTAGGAAACAGGCCCAGCTAGATGTCCATGTAGAAAAGTAGTTTTATAAGCATCATTTTATATATATTCCTTATATAAGGTTTATAAGGAATCCCAACTTACCATACTCCAAATTTAAAGGGATAGCTAAGTTCCCTGGGCAACATTTTTGTTCAGGATATGTTTCTTAGAGAAGAAATGTAAAGATAAATGGACCGAAAAGCTGAGACAGAGATTAGAAGAGAAAGAAGCCACCCATTAGTGGTTTAAATCGCCAGAGAGTAAGATGGGCAACTGGATGTTTGCTCATTTTAGTAAAAACTGAGTGTGTGCCCCACTGTTAGAAGAGACCACAGGCCCTAAGCAGAGTGTCCTGCCCTGGGCTCCTGTCACCAAACCAACGTAATCCCTGACCTAACTGCAGTTTCAGCCTCTCCCAGGCATGTAATCATAACCAGTCAGTCTGGAATTACCTGGTCAGCACTAGTGAGATAATCTGTCTGATAGGACCCCTGCTGTTCCCCCAGAGGAAGGAGACCTCCTCGGAGACAACCCACTCTTTGCTAGTGACTTCCTTGTCCTGCTCCCTTCTGCCTATAAAGTCTTTCATTCTGTACAGCTCTATGGGGCTCCTTTCTATCTGTTAGATGGGAATTGTTGAATGAAGCCATTAAGATCTTTAAAATTTTTTCAATCGTACTTTGTTTTATAACAGATGTGTGGTAGGTATGGGATCCAAAGGAAACTTCTGAGGGCTTTGGGGATGAGAAACAGGCATGGTGTGTGCAAACACTGAGTTCTCTGTCTTTCTCCCCATTTCCAAGGGCTGCAGGTTAAGCTCCTCTTGGTTCTCAGCTCCGCTCTCCTTGCACTGAGCTCCTGATCTAGTTGGCTTTCCACAGTTCCCCATTTGATTGGAATCCCAGCCCACGGTCCCATTCTGTGGGGTCTGCTAGTTGTCTTTCCCTAAGTCCCCAGCTCATACTGGGAACTGCTGGAAGTTACTGGCTGGGGTTGGACTGGGTCTGACTTAAGCTGGACCAGGTCCAGTGTGTTTTGTGTAGGTAAGGCTATTGATAGTGGGAATCTTAGAAGCCAAAAGCCACAGAATTGTGGGCACAGGGTGAACACTTAATCACTGTTAAGAGCGTTTGCCACCTAACTCTAACACTCCCATGTTAGGATAAATCGGTCATGGAATGGGTTAGCTTGATATGAGGCCACCCATCAACTTCAAGAAAATTTCCATGCATAGAGATGCACCATAAAACACCACCCAACCCAACCCAGTGACACATTCCCTCATG